CGAGCTTCTTGATGAATAATAAAATGATACTTGAAAACTTTTCTTTCCAAATAAATTTTAAGCATTGCAACAAAACATTTTATTCTGCTAACCATGCAAGGCGTTCTATTTGTGCAAGCACCGTCTAATTTTGTCCATTCTACTTTGTAAACTTCAATTACATTTTTAAGTTCCTTAAAAATGTCTTCACCTGTAGATAAAACTATTTGACGCAAATCAAGCTCTTCCCCAGTATCAAAATTATTGTTCTTGTAACGCACAAAAAGATGCTTAACTGCGCATTGTCTGTGATATCACAGCTTTCATCCAAAGTTAATGAAAAATATTTTCAATTTTGAAGTCCAGAGACAATTTGTGTTCCAACATCCAGGCTCATGTCATCTATAAGAAGCATGATGGTATTTCTAGCTAAAGCTATTTTATCAACCCTATTTTTGACATTTAGATCGCCGACATTTTGGGCGAAAATTAAAAGGCTACTTTTTATTATCTTCTTTCCGTCAGAATATGGTTTTTTCTTGAGGGCTAACAACAAAAAAGTTCATAAGAAGCCTTAACCATGGCTTCCATTTCGTCATTTGTCTTCTGGAACCAAATTTGTAGGCTGGTTAAGGATTTTTTTTATTGATAAATTCCGTTCGCAAATGTGATCCAACAGGATATTTGCTGTTCAAATCACTATACAATTGTTTGAAATGACGGTTCAAATTAATTTTTTTTTGGAACTGCCATACAAATTCCACATATCAAACAAACAGGCTTAGAAGCATTTTGATGTGTAAGCAAGAGTGTTATTCTTCCCAAACAATTTTAAAATAACATGCTGCAAAATCCTCTTCATAATTTCTTTCCGATGTGGAAGGTTTACACATAAACATTTTGAAAATAAAAAAAATTTAAATGCTGAAATCTAACGTTAAAATCTAAAAACAATTTTAGAAAAGGAAAATAGCTTAACGTCTTGCTAAACAGAGTTTAAAATCAACTGAGTCTGAGAGCTAGAAACAATTTGCCGATGTTACGGTACAAATTTTCTTGGCTCCGAATCCAGCATTCTGATTAGTTATGGAAGCAAGTTCTCACTCCCTCTGCTTTATAAAGTAGCTACTTTGTGCAGATGGAGTTACTTCTACCGTATCAACAACTGCTCTCCTAATGTATTGCAGAATTATTTCTTGAGATTACAGAAATCGTAAATAGCCAACACCTTCAGAAAATTCTTTTATCTGACATCACGCTGACAGCCAATAGCTATAAATACTAAACTTCAGCACTGCAAGAGGAAGCTGGAATTCGAATAGAAATCGGAGATGTTAAAAATTAACCCTCCCCCCCCCGGTAGAGGGTGACTCTTTGGGCAGATTCGACCGTCCGAGAGAGAGAGAATTTATTTGCTTTTAGTCTCACGTTACTCAACACTTTTCTCGGAACGTTACAATGCTGTATAATTGTAAGTTTTGGAGCATGATCTCATTTTTACGCTATACTGAAGAAAAGAAAAAATCTTGCTTAGTGTCTTTAAAATCTTGCTTAGATCCTTTAAAATCTTGCGCTGAAAATTTCTGTTTTTTTTTCTTCATATTCTCTTGATGATAATTTTCTATTGTAATTCGATTAATTCAGTAATATTTTCATAAAATTTTGTAAAGTTTCAATAAGTCTTCGCGTGCCACAACTACGACTCCCACGTGCCACAATGTGGCACGCGTGCCGCGGGTTGGCCACCCCTGATCTAGCGAATGCACTAAAATTTGAACGTTTAGTTAAAATTTGAAAATTTTAGAACTGATCAAGTAAATATTATAAGAAGAGGGACATTCTCTTTACGAGACCATTATTTAAATAACAGACCATAACTCAAAAAATATACATATAATAGGAAATACTTTAGTACAATATCTAGAAAACAATATAAATATGAGGCTCAAAAAGTTTTATAAAAATACTTTTATAACATTTTGAAATATCAGACTCGCTATGATGGAGTTTGAACAATTTAAGGGCCCATTTCTGATAAATAGACAAATTTCCGATTTTTTTAGTTTTATGAAGTTGTTTGTAATTTAACTTCTAGATATTGTAGAAACAAATCAAAGTATACTTTGCAAAGCCAAAATATATCTATATTAAAAAAAATTTAAAAAATGTACTTTGACCGAATTTGGTCATTTTAATGTGTTCGGATACCTTAAATTAAATCTGTTTGAGGAGATTGATTCAATTCTCCTTGAGTTTATATTGCAGCTCATTCTTGTAAAGATTGTGATTCATCATTTATCATTACCGAAACCTACTACATGTTTATTTTCACAGAAAAGCATTGTTTATTACAAAAGAAATCTAAAAAAAAGTACATCTAACAAATTGAAAACTTCACTTTTAAATAAGTAATATATATATATATAATTTTACTAATATTAATTTTAAACTCAGGGATCGGAATGAATTTAGGCTATCCTATCTTATTTAAGATATGCTGTTGTATTATCTACAGGGTCAGCTTTTTATGATTTTAATACTTAATAATAGTTTTTTCTAAGTACATATTTTGGCAGTTTTGTATAGTTCGCAGGGACTGAAAAATATATTCAAATATTTTTTTTTGATTATTCTTAAACAACATGCTAAATTATAACCTGCTGCTACCAAAATATATAAAATGATTTGATGGTAAAGTCTTATATTAACGAAACATTGATTACTTATAGAATTCGTGCTAAACTGATTTATTTTTTATTCATATGAGAAAACTAAATAAAATATGAGATGCAAATATAATATTAAAAAAAGTTTTATTGTTATATGTTATGCATGAAATGTAAGGTTTTTTAGTTTGAATCAGTAATATTTTATTCATTAAACATACACATATTCATTTTATTATTGCTACATTTTGCATCAGTTGTAAATATTTTAATCAATATCATACAATAAAATTAACAATATTCTGGGCATGATTATAACAGGTTGTGGTTTCTATGTTCATCAATTAATTTGTAAATGGAGTTTAAGATTTATTTTTACGATATTCTCTATAAATTTTTTCTCGATACTTATCCATTTGTATTTTTTAGGATAATTAAATCTCTGACATTATGTTTTTAATTTTTATGCCTTAAATAACAACTGTTCATTTTTCAATAATAAAAGGTAGAATTGTGTACAAATGCCAAGTTCTCTCTCTCTGAAGCATACTTATTTATAAAAAAACCCTCTAGAGTGTCATATCGTTAATTTATGTGTAAGTTAAAAATGCATAGCTAATTAAACTTTGAATTTGAACTTGCCCGAACTATGGTTGAAAATTTTGCAAACTATATTCACACACATTGTCAATTATTTTTGAAAAAAAAAAGATGCTTATTTCTATATTTCATCAGAATAATGAGATTCAATCTGTATACAAATTTCCACTATTTCTTCTAAAACAGATCAGACTGAATTGCTATCATTCTATTATTCTTGCATTGCAATTCTAAAGAAAAGCATTTCGTTTTTTCGAAAATATAAGGGAATTTTTCCCTATGAGAATATTTTGTAAAACACCAGAAAATGTAATAGAAAACAAGTAATTAAAAAAAATTAAGGCAATTCCTATTTAAGTTAAAAAAAATTTATTTTAATTAGTTTTTATTAAATAGTTACAAATAATATAAATAGGTACATACATATGACAGAATCACAATATTAAGTGACAAAATAGAAAGCGATTTAACTTGCAATTTTCCATTGTCCTTTCTATATATGGTGTTGGACTATTTTTTTGTTTGTTAATATTTATTCCTTAATTAAATTTAATTATTCTAATAAAATAGTATAGTAAAAATTATAGTTTAAAAAAAACAAAAAAAAAAACACGCTTTTATAGTGAATTGAACTACAAAGTAAAAAAAATTCCTAATATAAGAAAAATATGATTAACGAGAAAATTAATGTCAGTGGAGTAAAAGCGTGGGGTGATCGGTATTAATTGTTATAATTTCTTCCTATAGTTCTATTCCGAAATGCTGAGAGTGTAGAAATGTAATACAAAGTACCCTAAGATTTTACCAAAATGACATTAATTTTCTCGTTAATCATATTATTCTTATATTAAGAATTATTTTCTTACTTTTTAATTCGATTCACTATAAAAGCGTGTTTTTCAGTTTTTTTTAAAAACTAAAATTTATTTTTCACTTTTTTAGTTTGATCTACAATTAAAACATGCTTTTTTTAGTTTTTTAAACTATCATTTATTCATTGTTGAATTTATCCTCGAGTTTGATATTTGGAGCCGGAATTACGTGGCTGCTGGAATTAGTCTTGCTCTTCAATGGATTTTAATTAACGGGTCAGAAGGGTATTTATTCTCTCCATGAGTCTCGTGTCGTTATATTTCAAAGATTCCGCCTTTATAGATATAGGTCAAACTAATAAAAGTGTGCCAAGAAGAAATATTAAGTGCCAATCGCATTATCACCATTTAAAAGTATTGCTATAATGTTAATTCGTATCATCACTTCTAAGTGTATTGCTTTATAAAAATAAAAATAAAAACATTTAGCAGTTTGAGAACATAAATTATTTTTTTCACATGCTCGAGTCTTTGTTTTATTTCCATTTTCAGAAAAACTACACAATTGTTTATATTATGGTAAGAAATTGCTGACGCACCCACCCTCCCTTTTCTCACATAAAGAAAACTTTTTTTGTTGTTTTTATTTGTATTAAACACAAGTGTATTCGCTTTTAGTGTTAAATCTTAAACTTTTAGTCACCAAATCCAGAAATGGTACATGGAATTAGTCGCCAAATCTCGAAATCGTTATTCTAGATGGAAAATGAAAATGGAACAAAATTAGGAAATTATTATATTGCCATCGGTCCTTGAGAAGTGTGCAAAATTTCGAATTAATATGACCTTTTAAAGTGGATAAAAGTTTTTAAAAAAAATTCCGCTGCATACAAGTAAAACGTATAAAAGCGTGTTAAGAAACCACACTCTCAGAGAAATTAGTCCATTCTAGTTGGGATTGGAACCCACGACCTTTGGATTATTAGTCCAACGTACTAACCATTGTGCTACAGGGATACAACGAACTATTTTCATTTCTATATATGCTGTTGAGCTTAATGAGTAAATATTTGAAAAGACTGTATTAATATCAAGTGTAACCAAAGTTTAAAAAAAAACGTATTTGAACTTGAATGGTTGAATAGAAAGTATTTTATTAACGATTGAAAATTTGAACAAGATATATATATATATATATATATATATATATATATATAGGGAGAAGGGAACTAATAGTAGGAGTTGAAAAAGATACCACAAACTGGGAATTGCATTCTTCCACTCGTTTTTGACATTTTACGTAAAATATCAGCAACCATTTTGTGAGAAAAAGAGTCACGTCATTATATTCATGCTTTTTCTTAAGGTTTAATATAATATTTGAAATAATATTTCTGTAAAGAGCTTTAAAGATGTAATGAAAAGTTATCGAAAGATTTGAGTAATCAGATGAATGAGCAATTTTCAGTGAAATGCTGATATTTTGAGGCATATTGTGATAGTAAATTTATTCTTTTTAATGTTTGCAATAATTTGGCTCTGCTTCATTGAGTGATTTTGTCTTTTCTCTAGTAAAGTAATCAGTCAATATTTGGCTCAGAACCTAATTGTATCCGATTTTTTAAAGAGTCTTATTCAAGTTTTCTACATATTTACTTCAAAGCTATCAATTTTCATTATTTTCTACATCACTTGTCGCTGTATCTCCTCGTCAGGTTGTTTGAAGACGGGATCTCGCTGATGATTGGGGTGCTCAGTGGGATCTGAACAGCATTAAGGGAATAGCCATTAAATTGATTATGAAATATTTACAAACAATGATTCACAATAATTTACTTTAACCCCTTCTCGGTTTTTACCGAACTAACCTCGACCAGGCGAAACTTATGATCCTGGCTCATCCTGAGTGTAGCTCGGGAACTGTGAAAATTTACACTGTGCAATCGATCTTTTCCGAGATTTCACATGTTCTATTTATGGTTTCGAATAATTGAAAAGTAACACTGGATGGAATTTCCTGCAAAAAGAGGACGTACTTGTTCTGAGCACCCCCTCTTCTTCAAGCATGTCTGAAAGATACTTTGTTTGTGACGGGGCTATTCGCGAGATTTCAGTACTAATCCTCTTGGGAAGCTTTGGGGTTAGCATTTATACTATTTCACAGCCTTTTCAGGAAAAACACGAGATAGTTATATGTTCATTAGTTCGACTATATAAAGTCTATGTAGATTTTGTAAATGAAAGAGAAGGAGTAGCCAAGCTGTCATGTAAGTATCGCCGGTGAATTACTTCACGAACTTAGCGCGCGTTTGATAGATATAAATTATAAGAGTAAATTGTTAGATAGACAATTGAAGAAAATAGATTCAGTACCAACCGGAGGTTAGCAAGTGTTCGTATCCCTGTCCATTCTGATAGCCGAGATTACTTAGAATTGAATATTAGAATTGAATATTAGAATTAAGTATTAGAATTGAGTAGTAGAATTGAGTATTAGAATTGAGTGTTAGGATTAATCAACGTATTAGGGAATCACTCCTAGGTTTCTACTTATAATTAAACTTGTGATTGTTTAAGTGTTTTTCAGTCCTGAATAAATATAATTATTATTATGCCTTTTGTTGGTGATGATATGTTTCCTCCCACACTTAAAGACGCGCCGGGTGGAGTGTGCGGGGTCCAAAATAGGACCCCGCTCATTTTTCGAATTTATCATTTTTGATTAATTACTTCTTACAGATTTATGTAAATGCAAAGGATGTCAATAAAATGTGTATTTCAAGATAAAATCTAGGTATTAAAGCTTTATATTGCTAATTAGTGTGAACTGACATCAAGGTCTATTGATTACTGCCATACAGAAAGTCAACTTTACGAGTGAATTACTCATTTATTTAAATAGATTTTTTTTGCATTAATTTTTAGGAATTTTGCATGCGAATTGTGCTATAATGTTTAAAAAGTTATCTACGTTTAAAATAAGCATAAAAACTGACAGTTTTTTTTATTCATAATCCAGAAATAAAATGAACCTGTAAGGGGTTAGTTTAAACATTAGCAATGAGTGCAAGGTATGTGGACAAGACAAGCTAAAGCAAAAAATATACATTTCTGACTTAAAATGAGACGCAACCTCTCAAACTTTCCAAAGAAAATTCCTCATAGATCTTGTAACTTCAAAGTCTACGCAGCAATAACCCAGTAACTATTTAATGTGGCAACATTGTCAACGACATCTACTATTCTGTATAAATTTCTGTCTTATATGATCTATGTCACTGACTATTTGTATACTGTTTTGTAGGACGTCTATATTCGGAGAGGCGTTGCTTTGGCTTTAAATGCAAAATTGGCGATGGTCAGATGAAAATTCGTGTTAGAGAGGGCAGAACGTACGGAACTACGGTCTAAGTTGCTCGGATTTAATTGTTACCAGCATTCATTTTATAGTTTTTTCAAAATTTTTTACTAATTTGTTTTTGGAATTATATGGAAAATTTAACATTTATATGGATATAAGTCTTTGATTCAGTCCACTTTTAAGATTGGAATTGCCAAATGGTGTTCAAAGTAAAAGAAATTTTGAATTTTTTTGGTAATCTTACACGTTTTTCAAAATTATGTAACAATAAATATAAAATTCACACTGTTTAATTAACCAAATAATTTCTATATTTTTACACAAAAAATCGTCAAACGTCTAAAGTTTTTTCCCCAAAATATTGTTGTTTTTTTTGTTTTTAAATATCCACTCGATCACAGAAGACTGTATTATCTTAAAATACTTTTCTTTCTATTTCTTTAATTTAATGAGTTTTCGATCACATTATATTTCTAAAATTAAATTGAAAATTCCCAGGTAAAAATTTTTATCAGTTTTTCACATCTATTATTCTATCTTTATCTTGTAATAAATATACGAAATAATAATCATAGCGATGTTATTGTATAATAAGAAAAGGGTAAAGCAATAGTATTGTAAGATAAAATCATAAATGTGAAAGTTGTACTAATTACAAGCCCAAAAAAAAGAAAGCAATTGTTCCAAGGAACATAACAATTAAAGATACTAAAAGAGTCTTTGGACTAAAACGAAGTGGTATTATGAATTTTAAGGCTGCCTCTGAATTAGGCCAGCGAAACAAGGGTTAGGTAATGCTTTATAGTGCCACCTTCCGGTTTAGGAGAATTTTTCAACATAATGGAAAAAACAGAGCAATTTTGAAAAATTAGGCATATATCTACGCTCACTTCCAAAAGTTAAGCACGGAGAAGAAAATGCTAATTTTCGGAAGCCAATCAGAATTGAAGAAGATGCAATTCACTGCAGAGGTAGATGAAAGTATGCAAATATGTTAGGTAACAGCCAATCGTGCTTTCATGTCATGAAATATGCAAGAAGGGCAGCCTTATAAGAAGCTAACTTTATGAAGGGTTACAGAAGTTGAATGTAAGTGCTGATAGAAGGTGTTTAAAACTTTCGTACAATTTGTTTTCAAGACATACGTGTTTCTATGACTTCCAGAAAACGAATGGAATATTCTGAGGCGTCTGAATTGAAGCCAATTCCAAACCACCACAGACAGTTGTCCGAAGGCCCGTAGGCCGTCGCCCAAGGGTTACAACCCCGCAGAAGATCGATATATCGCATTGTAGCCAAGCGGAATCGCAGTTAGACCTTCACACGTTGACATCTATGGTTACAGCGTCCATTGGTAAGACTATATCTGTAGCTACTGTACTCCGAAGATTATATATGAATAGACTGTATGCCCGGGTATCTTGAGTTTGTGTTCCTATATCCGTCCAATCAAGAGGGGCACGATTAAAGTGGTGCGGGAATATGGCAATTGGACTGTGTCTGACTGGGGCAATGGTATGTTTACTGATGAGCCAAGATTTGCTCTGGGGCCAGATGACAAGCGTATAAGGATATAGCGTAAACAAGGAACACGCAATCAGCCCCAAAACATCACCGAACATCACGCATTCCGAGGCGGAAGTATTATGGTGTGGGCAGGGATTTCATTAGGATACCGCACTGACCTGCACATCTTTAAAGGGTGACCCTTCATCTGTGACGGCTGTCCGGTATCGAGATGAAGTCCTAGAACCCATTGTGAGTTTGTACGCTGCAGCAGTGGACCCTAATTTTGTTTTAATGGACGATAACGCATGTCCCCATAGAGCTGACATCGTTGATGACTACCTGGAAAGTGAAGGGATTGCGCGTATGCGGGGGGGGGGGGGTCACATACCCTATTAATGTCCTTTTTTTCATTTTATGTTGGCTATTTTCATTTTATACATAATTCTGCTTAAGTCTCCAGTATGACATTATCTGATAACTTACAAAAATTTAATATTGTTTTCATTTCTGTATATAATTATTGATTTTGTTTTATGTATAAATATATATGCTACTTTACTGCCAAATTTTATGTCAATCAGCAGTATTTGTTGATTTCTTTGCATTTTACATCTTCGTGCTTAACTTTTGGAAGTGAGTGTATCACACGTTTATGGAACTCCAGACAGTAAAATAAAATGAAATGAAAGCATGAATAGAAAATGTGAAGTTTCTCTCATAGAGATGATTATAAAGAAAAAATTCTATAGAATAACTAGGATAAAAATTTACACTAAGAAATGCAATCCATAAGGAAATAAAGAACAAGCATCTTAGTCAGAAAACGCGTGAAAAATGACGTGTTAAAATTGAAGGGTTCTCCAAGAATCAAAAATTAGTGGCGTCACCTATATATTTTTTTGTATTTAAATTACGTATACAATATCTTAATGAAATCAATAAACTAAACTGAAATAATAGAGTTAAAATAACATAGAAATATATTTAAAATAGAATTTACTTTTTTATTGGCAATCCAAGCAATTATTGCAGAATTTTTTATAATTACCTTTTTTTAAAAACATTATCTGTAACTAATACATTTTTTCTTTTTTATGAAATTTAGGATAATATTTCTAAATATAGATAGATTATGTTACTACACCAGAATGAC